CTAACAACAGTGACCGCCTGACTCCGGCCCCACCGGGCGGCTGAAGGTCAGCCGCACAGCCTGCTGGGAACGATGGTGTTGGCACCCAATGGACGAGGGGGTCGGGAGTGCCTTCCTTGAGACCCACCGACGGCTGTCTTTTTTTTTGGAGACAAGAGTCTCACTATGTCACCCTCGGTAGAGTGCTGTGGCATCACAGCTCACAGCAACCTCAAAATCTTGGGCTTAAGCGATTCTCTTACCTCAGCCTCCCAGGTAGCTGGAACTACAGGCGCCTGCAACAACGCCCGGCTATTTTTTCTTGCTGTTGTCATTGTTGTTTAGCTGGCCCAGCCAGGTTCGAACCCGCCAGCCTGGGTGTATGTGGCTGGCACTGTAACCACTGTGCTACTTTTAGGTCCCATTAGTCGCTGCCAGTTTTGGGCTGGCCTGCCCTGAACAAATTCCCTTTCCTGGTCTTCATCGTCCCCTAATGATTCTGGCCTCAAAAGCCTCATCTGAAAATTGGGGGGCACTGCCATGCCTGGTTGAAGACAAGAGTGAAAGCAGATAACCCTCTGGAGGCCTGATCCTCTTAACTGAGGACTGTAGGCCAGGCAGAGTGGGCAGCTTGGGCTCAAATGTCAGCGTTTGATCAGCCCAGCCACCCTTTGTTCCTGCTCTAGTTTACAAGATGCTAAGCTGGGGTGTAAACTGTGTGTCCCCACTGCTTCACTCCCGGCACAGGTGGCTCTAAGCAGATTTTCCAATTCCATTAACCTATTTAAAAACTGACAATTACTCATTCCCACTCTCACTGCAGATTCACGTGACTCAGAAGTTTACCTTTAAGATGAAACTTAACACCTAATCTCTGTCCCCCATTCTCCCTTGTTCTCTGAGACTGAGACCCTACCCACTAACTTATCTCCACAGTTCAGAAAACTATTGTGCACACACTGGGTTGTGTGGTGAAGCACTGGACTTTAACTCCTGCATCTTTGTTGCCACCGGTTCTTTTTTAAACTCTACACGTGCTTAATGCTGAATAGACTGGAGACCTTTGAGGACACAGATGAGATGCGATGGTAATCATATCTGCACACCAGAGCCCAGATAGCATCTGTGATGGAGACATACTGAGTAAAAAATCTAGTTTCTCATCCCTGCTTCCCCACTTCAGTCACTCAGAGAATTGACAGCATGGGCTTTGGAATCAGGCAGATAAGTTTAAAGTCGTGGCTTCCAGTGTTAAAGCTCTGTTACATGGCCACGTCATTCATTCTCTATATCGTTACCATCATCATCATTACAGTTAACAAGGGCTTTTACATATTCTTTCCCCATCACCACTCTCCAAGGTTAGTCTTGAAATCTCTAGTTTACAAAGGAGGAAACAGAAGCTAAGAAAGGTAGAACAAGTTGCTTATAATCAAACCACTTTAAGTGGGAAAGATATTTAAATCTGGGACACAATACAAAAATCCAATCTTATTCCACATTCCACAGTGCTTCTACATTTTAGCCTCATCTCTAAAATTAGTGTATTACCCATCTGGTAGACCATGGAGACTGAATAAAATAGTATGAAAAGTGACAACCATGGGAACTTTGGGGGCCCTAAGTTCCCTCCCCTTTCTAATATAGTTTGCATATTTTCTAACCCTATTATCTCACCAACCCCCTAAATCAATCCTAATGAGTGGCAAGTAGATCTGGACGCTCCAAAGGAAAAAAAAAAAAAAAAAACAAGATATTTAACAAACATTGACTCAGACCCCACATTGAGCTAAGGCTCAGACCAAAAAACTATGTCTGCAAGTAACCTAAGGAAGGGAAGAAAGATGCACAAATAAATGAATAGGGAAAAGTAGGTAACCAATAAGTGCCTTCTGCTGCTACTCAGTCACTCTCACAGAGTAGGGCAAACCACTGATCTGGGAGCTGTATAAAACTGTTGATTCTGTGTGTGAGTAATGCCTGGTTCAATCTTATGGTACCCAAGGAAGAAGTTAGTGACTTAAGGATTGGTGAGGCCAACATGGCCGGCCTACATGATTGTGCCATGATCACAAACTGAATACTCAACAGCAAGACAACACTACACACACACAAAAAAGACTAGAACAGGGGTGAGCCATCCATGTGGCCAGTGGCTACTGCACTGGACAAGGCAGATACAGAGCACTCCCATCAGTGCAAAGTTCAACACAGCAGCACTGCTGGAGAGGCTGGCATCTCCATCAGCACTTCTCCCTGTTACCAGAGTTCATTCTGCTGCCTCTACAAGACAAAGATGGAAATGGATGCCTGAAAGCCAGGGTCAGCAAACTGTTTCTGTAAAGGGGCAGAGAGAAAACATCTTAGTCTCTGTAGGCCATCCAGTCTCTGTCACAATTACTCAACTCTGGCATTGGAGGCAGGGTGAAAGCGGTCACAGACAACACATAAATGAATGGGTGTGGTTATGTTCTAATAAAACTTTACTTACAAAAATCAGGCCAGTGGTGTGGCACAGTTCGCCAAACCTTGCCTTAGAGGACTTATAGAGGCATCTTCAGAATTCAGTACAATCAGTGGAAATCTCCTCTCATATTGCTAAGACTTATGAAGGATAAACTCATTTTCTTTCTCTTTTATCTGCCCAAGCCCTACGTTAGGGCTCCTATTCATGTAATGAAGACTCCTGGTCCACTCCCTGCCCACCCATGAAAACCACAAACAGATTTCTTCTCTAACAAGCCCTAAATCATATTGTGACCATACCAAGGTGAATTAAAGCAATTGTAATTAAAAACCAACCAACCAATCACTGTGAAACATTTATTTTTGTTTTATAGTATTAAGCATGATTAAAATCAGTGCAGAAAAATACTAAGTACATTGGGTAAGGGTGAGCTAGGCATTATTAATAGTATTTGCTTTTCTTGATCCAGTTAAGACCACGAGTATATAAGACATCATCACTGACTCAAGGATGCGGCTGAAGGGTGAGATGTGAACCTCCTGCATATTCTACTGGCCTCCAAAGGCGTTCAGGGGATCATCAAATATGTCAGACACCTTGTGTTCAGATCTTGGTTCAGGTGCTGCCTGTGTAGACCGGCTTTTTGGTTTGCTTGTTTTAACTTGGGCACCAGAGGAGAAGATATCATCTTTAAAAAGAAAAAAGAAAAAGATTTGCAAAACAAGCAAGAAAATGGGCATTTTTAAGACACATCAAAACAAACCATCAAAGATCCAATTCTGGAACAGTACAGATACCCAAAGATATTAACACAGAACCCAAACTTCTTAAGATTTTCTGGTCCTGGCTTGGTTAGTAATTATAGTTTATATTTACATACAAGTCAGAATTCTCTTTAGGCACAATTTTCTCAGCTCAGAAGGGTGTGTATGTGCACAAACAGGAGGGGAAACAGGGAAGGGTGCCTGGATCTCCACAGCTCAGCCCATGACCTTACTACCTGTGACACTGGACTTCTACCTTCTTTTCACACAGAGTTTTAAAAGGCAAGATCAATAAAAATATGGAAAAAGAAATCCAATATAGGATCCATTCTCTTTTAGAATAAATTCATGGATTTGAGGCAATAGTTAAGTGTATCTGTAAGTACATTTGGGTTTAGTGTTTCACTGACTCTAAAGCTCCTCTTAGTTATGTTACTTACCCAGTAATAGTACTGCTAGGATTTCCTACCAGGATTTTAGCTGAAATTTGTACATAGATCTTAAAGACCACAGGCTTAGTGGTAATAGAGAAAACTTAGAAACAATCTAGATTTTCACCAATAGGTTAACGGATGAACATAAAACAGTAATACACAACCACTGACACAACAGATCTGTGTGTACTGACATGAAGAGACATTCAGTGACTAAAAAGAAGAGAACAGATAAAGTATATTCTTTTTTTCAAAGAGTATATATTGGGCCGGGCACAGTGGCTCATGCCTGTAATCCTAGCATTCTGGGGGGCCGAGGCGGGTGGATTGTTTGAGCTCACAAGTTCAAGAACAGCCTGAGCAAGAGCAAGACCGGGTCTCTAAAATGTAGCCGGGCATTGTGGCAGGCACCTACAGTCCCAGCTACTTGGGAGGCTGAGGCAAAAGAACTGCTTGAGCCCAAGAGTTTGAGGTTGCTGTGAGGTATGATGCCACAGCTCTCTACCAAGGGTGACAAAGTGAGACTCTGTCTCAAAAATAAATAAATAAATAAATAATAAATGACTATATATTTATATGTATACAAACATATAAACATCACCACGTCTGAAAGGATATATACAAAACTGTTAACATTGGTTATCCCTAGGGGTTGTTTTTCACTTTTTACATTTTCTGAATTATATGAATCTAGTACATTAGGCATATACTACTTTTCTGTTCATAAAATAAAAAAATGAAGTCTCTTCTGCACCCGTGTAGTGAGAAGCAGGGGGAGCCAGCATATGACTGGCTGGGTGAACACACCCAGGTGGCTCTGCAGCACCAGCAGTCCTCCAGTTAGTCTCAAGGTCTAGACTAGGGGTGGGGGATACAGTAGGAAGTGTCTGTTTGGCCTCAGCCCAACTCCTCTCTACCAACACAGGTATTATCAGAGGCCATTTGGGGGGGGGCATCAAGTATTTAGTCTGCCTATTAACAAAGTAGAAGCTGTATCATGAAGGGAAGACATGTTCATAAACACTGAAGACCTCTGCAAGATGCAAAGTCTGAGTTACAACCTGTATAGTCCTGCCCTCCTCCCAAAGGGCCACTGACACTCACTCTCC